CCATTCACACACACTTTTCTGGTTAGTCTTCAGCCATAGAAAAAAGGGGAGAGTGGATGCAGGGAAAACTCCCAAGCTTCAGGCCGGTAGAGAGGTGGCCGAGGCAAATCCAAGGGTGGGGAAGGAGCGCCCGGCTCCCCGGGGCTGGCTGCGAGTGCAGCCGGAAGGGGGAGCCCGACGCCAGCGCGGCCCGCACGCTCCGCCGGCGCCGCACAAGAGCCCCATTAAAGCGCCGCGGCTGGCCGACCGCGGCGAGACTCGCGTCCGGCTGTCCGGCCCCGCTTCCTCCCTCCCCGGGTCCAGGGCAGCCGGCCCAGCGCGTATGGGGGGGCGGCCTGGAGGCTCGAACTTGAGCAAATAAATACGTTCACGGACCGCCTCCATCCCTGCGGTGTAATCACAGGGCTCTAAACACCCCCGCCCACCCCAAACAAAGCCGGGGGAGAGGAGCTAGAGGGTCTGGAGAGAAGCTGGACCTGAGAGCAGGGGACAGGGCTGAGGACCACGGTCCCAGTCCCGCAAGGTCGCCAGCTGGGGGAGGGGCCGCCCCCTCCCAGTGCAGGGCGGGGGCGCATCCCGGGCGGGAGGGAGTTAAGCCCGGTGGCCTCGATGCTCCACGTAGGAGCTGGCTCCGGCCGTCGGTTGTGGTCAGGGCCACCGTATAAATAGGGAGGGAGACCGAGAGCCCAGGACTTCCCAGCGCCCGTGCCCGCCGTCGTCGTCGCGGCCGCCCCAGCCCGGCCCCAGGCGCCCCGCCATGGCCTGCCCGGTTCTCTTGCTCAGCCTCGGCCTCCTGGCCGGCCTGCTGCCGGCGCTGGCCGCCTGCCCCCAGAACTGCCACTGCCACGGAGACCTGCAGCACGTCATCTGCGACAAGGTGGGACTGCAGAAGATCCCCAAGGTATCCGAGAAGACCAAACTGCTCAACCTACAGCGCAACAACTTCCCGGTGCTGGCTGCCAACTCCTTTCGGTCCATGCCCAACCTGGTGTCGCTGCACCTGCAGCACTGCCAGATCCGCGAGGTGGCCGCGGGCGCCTTCAGGGGCCTCAAGCAGCTCATCTACCTGTACCTGTCCCACAACGACATCCGCGTGCTGCGCGCTGGCGCCTTCGACGACCTGACCGAGCTCACCTACCTCTACCTGGACCACAACAAAGTGACAGAGCTGCCCCGGGGGCTGCTGTCCCCGCTGGTCAACCTCTTCATCCTGCAGCTCAACAACAACAAGATCCGCGAGCTGCGGGCCGGCGCCTTCCAAGGCGCCAAGGACCTGCGCTGGCTCTACCTGTCAGAAAACGCCATCAGCTCCCTGCAGCCCGGAGCCCTGGACGACGTGGAGAACCTCGCCAAGTTCCACCTGGACAGGAACCAGTTGTCCAGCTACCCCTCGGCTGCACTGAGCAAGCTGCGGGTAGTGGAGGAGCTGAAGCTGTCCCACAACCCCCTGAAGAGCATCCCTGACAATGCGTTCCAGTCTTTCGGCAGGTACCTGGAGACCCTCTGGCTGGACAACACCAACCTGGAGAAGGTGAGCTCCTGGCCGCAGAGCTCTGCCCTGGCTCCTTATTTTCTGTCTGGAGGCCAGGATCCAGGGCCACAGCTGGGCACCACTCCCTCTCCCTTAAAATTGCCTCTGTCCCTCTGGCTATCTCCAAGGTAAGGAGCTCTGTCCCTCATCTTGTCACATCCCCACCCTGCCCTGCAGCCCCTGTCCCTAGTCTCAGCCACTGCCCTCCTAGCATTTCTACTTATAAATGGAGCAGGGCTGTCCTGGCCCCACCAATGGCCCCTAGGAAGCATGTCCAGTGCTCCCACACCCCCCACTGTGGGCAGCAGCCACCTCCTCCTGTTGGGCCTTCTGCCCCTCCTCTACTGTTTTTCCCGTCTCCAGTAAACCTACCACCCCATAAAGGAAGGTTTGTTTATTGAGGAGACTTCCAGAGGAGCTGGGTGAATCAGGCCCACAAAGAGACCCTGTTCCTGGAAGGGGGTGTGCATGTGTGCTGTGGGGGGGCGGGGG